CAGCTGAAATCCTAGTGGAAGCCACTGAAACAGCACTGCCACCATCAACTCCCTGTGGCAACAAAGACATCTCCTTGGAACCAAACTTTCATGTCCTTTGAGTTCCTTGATGACCAAGGAGGGACAGAGCTAAGAGGTGTGGGGCAGCTGGGGTGGCAGCCAGACAGTGAGCTGGTTTTAAACCCACTGACCGTAAAAGGGGTCTGGGAAGCTTTTTAGGGAAGGTTTGCCAGGTTTGCTGGTTTTAAGTGTCAGGTCTGCCTCACAAATAAGCCTTAAGGGGAAGGGACTGGGCTCTGAAAGGTGCATCGCGCAGGAAGGCTGTCTGCAGGAGGAAGGCTTACATTCCCCTAGGTTTCCCAAGCATCCCTAGGACCCATTCTTAACCCCACACTAAGCTGGAGAGGTTCCTGTTCTTCCTGTTTGTCAGGTAAGGAATGGGAGCCTCAGAACACACTTGAGCTTCTGAGTCAGAAATCTCCACAAAGTCAACAACAAATCTTTAGAGTCCTGGAGCGTGTGTCAGGACCAGGGGTGCAGCAGGAACACAGCCCGTGAACCCCACAGAGCAAGCTCACAGCAGCGGTTTAGGGCCATGCGGTCTTGCTGTTGACCTTGGAAAAGCTGCTGAACTGAGGGAACTTCAGTTTTTGCCTCTGAAAAACATGGAATTATAACCTACTGCTCAAACAATAGCCACAGACAAAATGGAACGGACTGGGGCGGCGTATGTCATACCCCGGACACTGCACAGCTGGCCACGAGGACTGCGGGGCGGTGCAGTGGAGCCCGGGCTGGCTCAGGTTCTCCCTGGACCTGCATTTGATGCCAAGAGCCAAGGGACAGCCTGGGAACCCTGCTCCTGCAGCTGTGCGACTTCCGGAATGGGGACGACCAGGGGCCACGCCTCCTAAAATTCATTTAACACATCTTCATGAGCGCCTTCCACGGGCCACAAGCCAGGGTGTGACAGTGCTATGACCCCCACCTCAAACATGCCCAATCCAGGGTGGGGCTCCAGGCTGCACAGTGCCAAGGGCGTCTTGGGGTCACAGAGGAGGCCCCTCTGTGGGTGAGCTCCCCCCGGGCACCCACCACAGTGGTTCCACCATAGGGGGCGGGTCCGCCTCTGTCCTCCCTCACTGTGGCCACAGCCTAGACTCCGTCAGCCCTGAGGTACAACAGTTACCTGTCAGGCTCCCATGTCTCCATGCCACGCCACTGACACTCAACAGAGCTCTCAACACCGTGCTTCTTTTGCTGAGAATCCTCACAGGTCCGGTGGTTTGCAGAGGTGGCCTGGGCGGCCCAGCCCTGAACCTTCTGTTCAAGCCAAGCTCACACCCTTCCTCTCTGGAAGCCACCCTTCCAAGAAAACGGCTCCCCAACTCATGCTCAGCCAGCACTGCTGTTCCCATCCCCCGTGTCCTGCCCACCTCCCCACAGAGAGGTCCCCTTCCTGCTTTGGGCACCAATAAGCCCGTAATTTTATATATAACATGTCATGATTTGTGGTAGCCAGGGCTTGCAAGGGCACAGGTTTAACACAGGACATATAATTTCTAGGATTATTTTATAATATACACCCAAAAAGTCATGCAGAGAGTACAAGAAATCTATCCAAACACTAGAGACTCAGAGAATCCAGCCTGGGGCCTGGATCCCACAGCAATGTCCTGCACAAGTCCAACTGGAGTGCCAGAGCCCATGGAAATGTACCATGCAAGTCCATATCAAGGTTCAGCACCGGAAAAATCCAAAGGCCAGGGCTGGAAGCTAGAAAGCCTGCCCCGGTGGGGTGGAGGGTCTGCGCCATCAGGCTGAGGGGTCTGCACTGGAGTCAGGAAGTGACGCTCGAGGCAAAGACCAGAGCTCCCCAGAAGAGTGCAGAAGCCACCTCAGAGCTCCTCCTCCTCCCATGAGAACAGCCAAGTTGGCATCATGAAAACCAGCTGCCGCAGTCTTCTCCAAGAACAACAGCCAGCAATCTTCCCCTCCAGTTCTCTTTTTATACCACTGACAACAATCCTCGGGTGGGTCTTCCACACCCAGACCCAGCTGAGTTGGTTCACCTGGGCGTTCCAAGGTGACCTTCAGTCAATCCACCGCATAGTTCAGATCTAGGTATCTTCAAAGAGCCTCAGGCAGTCACAGGCGGGGCTTTGGGCAAGGAGGATGCAATACTCGATTACAGGTGCTTATAGCCGACTTGCTTTCAGTGGGCGGGGTCCGGTTAGGGTTCGTCTCTCCCCAGACTCCTCCATTCCTTCTTCTTCCCACCCGCCATGCCGTGGGCAGCTCTCCTCTGCCGCGTCCCTCTGCCACACTGCCCTGCCCCGGAGCCAGGACTGATAAACCTCTCCTCCCACAGGCTGTGGTGGTCAGTTTCTGTGCCTCTGTGACCAGAAAGTGACTAAAGTGAGGTGATGGACTAAGTAACAGGGCGCTTGAGTGGGGACACCCAGCTGGACTGAGCCAGCGTGGCTCTGGGCACGGAAGACCCACCTGGGGATTGCTGCCCGAATGGCGCAAAAGAACGGGAGGCGAAGCTGCGCGCGGCCGATTTCCCAGCAGAAGCTTTGTTGTGGCTGATTTTCCTGCTTCGAACTCAGCTGCTGTCGTCCTTGGAGCTCGGGTCCTCGCAGTCACTGGGGGTGGCTGCCATACTCGTCAGGGGAGCTGTGGTCCTCACTTTGAGTGTCGCTTCCTGGCTGCAGTGCAGATCCCTCAGCCTGGTCGCACCGACTCTAACAGCTTCCGCCTCTGGGCCCTTCCTGGATCCTCAATACAGACTTGCACGGGACAGTGCCATGGGCTCTAGGCCTCCAGCCGGATTGGAGCAGAACTTTACTGTGAGATCCAGGCCCTCGGCTGGATTCTCTGGGTTTCTAGCACGCGGAGAAATCTCTTGCACTTTTGCCTTTGACTTTTCTGGGTGAATATTATAAGATACTCCTATAAATTTATGTATCCTGTATCAAATCTATTCTCTTGCAAACCCTGACTACAACAGGTGATATGTATATAACACAAATCAGTCTTCCTCTGTTAGCTGTCAAATTGATTCCTAACTATTGACAGCTTTGGCTTAAGGAGGGCCACTTCCCAGCCTGGGTGAGCTTGCTGTAGCGCCGTTTATATCCATCCTCTACAAAGTTCTCTTCACAGCGATGACTCCTTACAATCACTCAGGAAAGAAGGCGGTGGGGTGTGTGTGTGGGTGTGTGTGTGATTATTCCCATTTTACAGATAAGGAAACGGCGACTGACGTGCCCAGATGAATGAATGGTCCTGTGCAAAGGGAAATTCAAGATATGCTGCTCACATCCTGAGCTTCCCTCGACGCACACAACTTTAAGACCGCACATTCTTTTTCACCAAGGAGACCCAGCTGGTTAATGCACGCTGTGAACAGAGTGGACCTTCTGGACACCGTGACCGATGTCCTCGTGGATGTGGAGTGACTGCTGGTCAGGCTAAGCCTGCCCAGAGAGAGCTTCACATTCTGTACCCCTCACGCGGCCAGATGTGCTGGATACAGAGTCAACATTAGGCAGTGCCACCAGGGAGCACAGGGCCTTCTCAGACGCCGCCACCATGCCTGACTCATGTTCAAGGAACACGTCAGGGGATGAAGTTCATCTGCCATCCACCTAGCTTAGGGGAGAAGGTAGAAAAAAAAAGATACAGATACAGGCCAGGACCACAGTGACGCAGAGCTTACTCTGGGGGTGGCGTGGGGCGGTGACAGGATCAAGAAATCTCACAGGGAGGCAGTGAGATTTGCCACCGATTCACAGATGGGACAGACAGGCAAAGGACAGGCCGGCCTGAGGCAGCTCTGGGAACAGGGCCGAGGGAAGTGGAGGGGAAGAACTCTCCCACTACGGACAATTCCCTTGCTCTCCCACTTTCGCTCTGAATTCTGTTTACCAGCAAGCACAATGGTCCGTTTGGTCTGATAGCCTGATTTTTTTTTTTCATTGAGTTTACTGGTACTTTCTAGGTATACAGTAGTTACATTCATCACTGGGATCTTGTACCTTTACATGACAGGTCTTGGTTCTCATTTTTCCCCATCCCCCTGCCCTCCCTTCCCTATTAAAGATTTGTTTCCATTTTTTTCTTTTCTCATATTTTTCTTTTCCCTTATTTCCTTTCCTCCACCTTTCCCACTTCCCCTACACCTTTGGCCCCTTTCTTCCTATTTCACATTATCAATTATACAATTTGAATCTTATTTACACTTCTAGTTTTTCACACCAGAGAAACTAGTTGGTATTTATACACATGTGTCCTATTTATTTCACTGAAGAGGATGGCCTCAATATGCATCCATTTTCCTATGAATGACTCTAGTTTCTCATTCTCTACGGCTGAGTAGTGCTCCATTTTACAGAAAAACCACATCTTCTTCATCCAGTCTCCTGTTGATGGGCAATTGGGCTGTTTCCAAGCTTTAGCTACTACAAACTGTGCTGTAATAGCTTCAGATTTAAACAAGCATCTTTTACTCAGTCCCAGGCTCATAATTTGATTACTGAAGTTGACATTTAAGATTTTTTTATTCAGAGAGAAAATACGGGGTGATTTTGAAAGCACATGATCCCAGATGGACTGATGATTAAAAAAACCACACTGAACTATGGTTTATCCTTGCTCCTGCTGTAAACCAACCTAACGCTTGTGATGCACTCTGCAAGCCAGCACTGACCTGACGCAGTGCACTCCCTGCAGCCTGGCTTCCTGCTCGGCCCGGCTTCCCTGCTGCTGGGAACGCGACTGGGCTCCCAGAGTCAGCCTGGCGAGGTGCAGCCGGGAGGGGCTGCCGGGAGAGCAGGACGCAGCAGGTGAGGGGAGGGACGTCCTCAAGGGGCGGCCCCGAAGGAGCGCCTGAGAGTTAATTGTGCAAACCCACGTGGCCGGTGGAAAGGGCACAGGAGGCGCTCAAGGGGGCTTCTTTTCCTTTCTTCCTTTTCTTTTCTCTTTTTTCTTTTGTTCCCCCCAACGGATGGAATAAAAGAAACCATGCGTCTGCCTGCTGCAGCCCAGGGACTTTCTTAGGGTTCTCTGTGTAGTGTTATTCGAAAAAAGACAAAACCCCCAAACAAAACACAGTTGTATTAACACAAAAGTCCAACTCCACGGTTGAAATCTCCCTTTCCATTCCCAGGGACCGGTTTCCCAAATGAACCCCGGCTGTCTGGGCAGACAATGGGGTCCCCAAGGAGCTGCACGTGATCAGGCCAGCCAGCGAGGGGCATCCCGTGACCACCGCTCCTGCGGGAATGGGGGAGGGGAGCGTTCGGTCCCTGGAGGCCGACGTCCCAGTCCTCAGACCCTGTTGTCACTTCCCGTGCTCTTGTCTGCAGCCTCAGCACCCAGCACAGGGCGCGGGGCCACCCCTGCTGTGGGTACGTGTGCACGTCTTCTCCTGGAGCTTTAGAAGATTTTAACGTCTCTGGGCCTCGGGACCAGGGGCGCTGGGGACCGAAGCAGGCGTTTTCCGACCTGGAGTCATCTGTGGGGGGCTCCGGGCGGAAGTTCTGGGCTCCCAACCCACCTGTGAAGCTGTCCCGTAAGAGCAGAGGGCTTGATCGCTTTTGATGCCAGAGCGCCTCTCAGCAGAAGCCGGGTCTTGGATAAAATCTCAGGCGTGTCCCTCTGCAGCTCTGCACGTGGGGACCCAGGACGTCACGTGTGGGATCTGCACAGTCACAGAAGAACGGAGCAGAGGAAATTCAAACATTCTTTGTTCACAACTGCAGAAAGCAAACCCCGGAAAGAATCCTGCTTAACAGACCCTGGAAACCTGGCTTAGCCCGGGAGAACTGCATTTGGTGAAATTATCTTCCTTCACTGCTAGCACGTAGGTTGTTGCTTGCACACATGCCTAAGATTAGCATGAAGGGTGAATGCTTTCCCATTCTCAGGCCTGCTGGGGCCACTTAAGAAATGCTGCAGAAGTTCAGGACCCACCTGGGTCCCCACAGCCCACAGCGTCACAGTGCCTCAACAGGGCTGGCCAAGGTTGTGTCCGGCACTTCGGTGCAGACACTGGGCAGCTGCTGGCTCTGGCCTAGGTCTGGGCTGCAGGGTCCAGATTAGCAGAGAGGACACTGAGGCCAGCCCAGATCTCAGGCGCCGAGGCCTGGACTGCAGAGCAGCGCTAGCTCCACTGGGACCCTCTGGACTCTGCTCCCGGGCCACCCACACGAGGCCGCCACACCTCCTGGATTGGAGCATCCTTGCTCTTCCTCAGAGTGTGGCTTAATCGAGTTCCCGTGGCCTCCGTGGAAGTACTGCCAGCCCAGGGCAGGCCTGAGCGTCCCTTGGTCCCCCTCCGGGGCCCTCCCTTCTTAGCTGCATCCATTGCTTCTGTTAAGCCTGCGGTGACCAATTTGTGGCCATTAGGGGCACATTTATTTGCTTGACTTTTTTTTTTTTTTTTTTTGGCAGTAACAGGATTGAATCCACACCCTTTCCCCTGAGCTGTACCCTCAGCCCTATTTATTTATGCATTTATTTTTGAAACTCGCTCACTCACTTGCTAAATTGCCCCGTCTGGGCTCACATTTGCAATTCTCCTGTCTCAGCCTCCCAGAGTGCTAGGAATACAGGCGAGTGCCACTGTGCCTGGCTACTTTTGCTTTATTCGTTTTGTTTTGTTTTGGGTACTGGGGATGGGACTCGGGACCTTGCACTTGCAAGGCAGGCGGCGGCACCACTGAGCTACATCCCCAGCCCACTACTGCTTTATTCTTGAGGAGACCCTCAGAGTTGGCCTTAGTCACTGGGGGCTTTCATGGGACACACAGGCAGCTGCTTCTCCCTGGGCTTTCCATGGTTTCCTGTTCCATTTGGCTTTCCTTCTGCCTTCCTCCCCCTCAGACAGGCCTTTCTCCCTCCACGGACTGGGGGAGGAGCATATCTGAGGACAGCAGAACCAGCTTGAGAAACAAGCAGAGGGAATGAGGTCGCTATGAGGAGCGGGGGACTAAACAGAGCTTCGGGGTCCTTGGGGACTTGTGCCTGGAGCTGGCACATGGCGTCCACCACAGAGCCGTGTGGCAAGGCACTTCGCTCTCCGCGCCTCAGTTTTTCCACCGGCAAAGGGCAGATCCAATAGGCCTATGGTGTGAGTTCATTTTAGGATCAAATGAAAGAACAGCTCTGCATAGTGCACAGATCTGCAGACAGGCAGGGCCCACAGAAACCTCTCCGCCAGAAGCGGTGCGGGAAGATGAGCAGAACTTCCCCTCACGCTGATGCAGCGTCCCCCACCCCCGCCAACTCCGGCCTCCTTCCCTCCCCCAGGTCCAGTGGTACAGGAGGGAACCTGGGTCCCTGGTGGCTGGAGAGGGAGCAGGTGCAGGTCAGGGCGTGGCGCTCCTCAGACTCCTGGAGCATCCTGCAGGACAGCGCGCTTCGGGACTTGCCGCGGTGCGTGCAGCATGTTTCATGTAAGAGACGCTTGACCGACACTTGAGAATTTAGAAAGCATTTTAAATGACAGAGTCAAGAATCCGCATCAATCATGCACCCTAAGCTTCATTTAAAAAATGATGTAAACCACTTGTTGAGACCAGTGAGTCTCCTTTCATCAGCTCTGGGACAGACCCCATCTGAGAACAGATTAGCAGCGGCTGGGTGACTTAGTGAGCAGGAACCTCCCCACCTAGAGCCCACTCCCCAGCCTGCCAGCCTGTCCTGCTCATCCAAATGCAATTCCTCTGGCTCCTCTTGGAAGCCAATGAGCCAGAGAGAGAGCAAGACAAAGCAGCCAATATCTGCGATCAGTCACCGAGCTGTCTCGGGGCTGAGCACACTTTTTTAATGTAACTTGATCATTTTCACTTAATACATCTTGGATGTCTTTCATTGCAGTATACATGCCTTCCAGCATGTCCATTTAGCTGCTGCACAGGGAGAGAAGGACCACCCGGGAACCCAACAGGATCTCTGGCAACAGGATAGCAGCCTTGGAAGAAAGCGAGCTTTCCACCCCTGGAAGTGGCCAGGCAGACATGAGCCCGGTCTTGGAAGGGTTCCTGCACTGGGTACGCACATTATACTAACAAGAGTAAGTGGCTGGCTCCCTCCCTTGACACTCCCAGAACAATACAGTGTCCCAGGCGCGATCCCAAATACTCTGCAGGGACCTTCCACGGCACTCACAGAACTCTGACGTACATGTCATTCCCATCGATGCAGATGAGGACGTGAAGGACCGTGCCAGGCTCACAGAGCTAGGGACAAACCGGGGAGGACGCCCCCAGGGTCTAGACCCTCAGTCTGAATGCCAAACACCTGCCTCACCAGGAGATCCCTACGCAGGCCTTTTTCCAGCTCCCGGATCACGGGAACCCCACTGTGCCAAGGCCTGTGCGACTCACGTGTCATAGCGGACCCGAGTGTCTGGGACCTCCCCTCACCCGGCTAGAAAATACGGACAGCAGAAGACACCCGTCTTTGAGGGGCAATGGGCTTTGAGGAACAAGACAACAGGAACGGACCCCTCCACATGGCTAGGCCAGGGGAGCAGAGGTGACCTTCAGCTGACTGACATCCAGCACCCAGTCCAAGGGAAACAGAGACCCCCAGGGCTTTTATGGTCCTCCAGGGACTGCAGCAGCAGCCCCAGGGGTATCTGGACCTGCGATTTCTGTGACACAGGTCCCAACCTGAGGCCTGAAAGGAGACGACATCGTCTGAGTCTGGCCTCACTCATCTTGACAGCTAACTGCCCCGCAGCCGGCCAAGAACTGGCTCCCCATGGCCAGAGACCCTTCAGCAGCTCCACAAGAAGCCAGGCCTGCTGACTTCATCTCCCACACATTTGTCTTACAGAACGGACAGAAAAGGGAGGAAAATGATTTCTGGGCCCAGATTCCCCACGCTAACTGCAGGTCTGCAAGCTACCCTGTATCAGGTACGGCTAGAAGCCAAGACCCTAACAAAGGTGACTCTGCTGCTTCTGCTGCTGTGGCCATTCCCACCAGGTAACATGGAGGGACACCCATGTCACCCATGGGCTTCACAGAAAGTACAGCAAATGAGCCAGTGCTACGGTTAAAATCAAGGCAGATCACCCTGTGTCTTGATCCTGGCTCTCTGCTTTTTTTTAAAACTGTGATCTGGGGCATTTTACTGAACATTTCTGTGCCATACTTTGTTCCAAGACAGGGTCTCCTAGATCCTCCTGCCTCAGCCTCCTGACTTTGTACTACCACACCTGGCTTGTACTATACTTTTTTATTCCTCTATAAAATAGGAATGAGACAAGTTTGCTGTTCAGAGATTAAGTGAGATATGACATAGAAAGCATATACGTGGTACTTAAAAATGTTATGTATTTCTAGGGCTGGGGATTTAGCTCAGTGGTTCCAGCGCCTGCCTCACAAGCACAAGGTCCTGAGTTCAATCCCCAGTACAAAAAAAAAAAAAAAAAAAAAAAAATTATCTATTTCTATTGGCATCTCATTTATTAGAAAAAAATTACTAGAGGGGGTAAAGGGAGGACAGAGACAAGGGGAAAAAATGAGAACCAAGACCTGTCATATAAAGGTACAAGATCCCAATGATGAATGTAACTGTACTATATATCCAAAATGGACCAATAAACTCAACTTAAAAAAAGAAAAAAATTACTAGAACACTTTATTATCCCCATTTTATAGATGAAAAATTAAAACACAGAGAGATGCAGTGAATTTCCCTAAATCACAGGGCGAACAGATGACAGTACCAGGGTTTAAGCACAGGTTTACTGGCTCCAGAACCTTCACTCTTACCTGCCAGCCAGAGTGCCACCAGGGGCCCCAGGCACTGAGCTTAAGCACCCGAGACCACCCAAAATTGTTTGCAGACATCGACATTGTGCCCAAATGTCCACAGTTCCCACGGTTGGGACAAGGCCGCACGCCAGGAGAAACCGCTCAAGCTGACCAAGATGTCAAGGGTCTCCGACAAGGAATTTAACTAACAAACTTTCTAGAGAGGATGTGGACGGTGGCAGCTTTGAATCCACAAGGAGCGCAGGCCTTGGAGCCATGAAGACCCCCGGGCGGGTGGGCCAGGAGACTGACATCCCTTCCTGGGCTGCCCCTCCAACGCTGTGGGGCTCAGGAAGTCACCAGCCTGCTCCAGGGTCAGTCTCCTTCTTCGGGAGGTTGACACTCCGTGCCCTTCCAGAGGAGGACTCGATGGCCTTTTTCATTTAGTCATCCACTCAGCACGTGTTGTTGATCACCTGCTGGGGACCAGTTGAACAGCTGGAGGCGCAGACAGCAATCCGGATGCGGCCTCTGGCTTCAAAAGGGTTGGAGGGAGGCAGAAGCAAGGTGGTAAGGACCACAGTCGTGGGTGCCAAGGGAGGACAGAGCAGTGCGGATGAGAAACATTTCTGCTGAGAACCAGAGAAGGAGTAAGAGTCAAGGTGATGGGGTGGGGACCCAAGAGGAGGGAAGAGACTTATGGATTTGTGACCACGCTGCACTTAAGCAAGTGCGGTGTAGTGTGGCTGCGTCTCGGCAGGGATGGGGAAAGGCTGGCCTGGGAGGAGCGGAGAGGGAGCGATGGTTAGGAAGGGGCACCCTAAGGCTGGGCTCTGGTGTCCTAAGTAAAAGGAGCACCCAGTAGGGCCACGCGTGGGGGCTCTGACCTTCAGTGTGGCCACCCTGGGCCCTGGGCGGGGCTTTCTTCCTT